TTCACCTCCACCTGAAGCTGCAGTATTCCCAAAACATCACCTTCGCTGTGTAGTTCGACGAAATCACCGATCGAGCGACACAGGTTTTTGATGAATTCCGCGCGAGCAGTGTCGTCACCTCGCTGCGACAAGCAGCAGAGAGTGGCAATGTGCCCCGCACAACGCTTCAGCTTCGTGCACGTGGCCGTCGATCACTTCTCGAGAAGACTCAAAGTCAGCAGTATTTACGACCTTCCGAGGAGACTGCTTTGGTGCGATTCCTGCTACACCAGGATGCGCTCGGCCAACCGGTCCGCGTGAAGCACGTCCGCTCGATTGCCTTCAGTCTAGCATGCTCACGTGTTGTCGCGGAAAGACTGAGCAAGCCTCCGGGCAAGAACTGGTCGCAATCCTTCTGCAAGCGGTACTCTAACATCTTGAAGGCTGGCAAGAGCAGCGCGATGGACTGGAACCGCTTTGACATCTATGAGAAAGTGGTGAAATGGTTTGACGTGATCGCCGGTGTGCTACAGGACCCGGAAGTCCTACCGGAGAACGTGTATAACATGGACGAGATGGGTGTAATGCTGTCAAAGCGGAATTCTGTGAGAGTCATCATGGATAGAACGAACCAGCACGGCTGTCGAGTCGCACGTGTGAAGCGGACGACCGTAACAGCAGTCGAATGTGTGAGTGCTGACGGGCGATATCTACATCCTATGATTATCTGGCCCGCGGCCACCCACCGAGCGAATTGGGTCACTCATCCTACGCCTGGATTGCATTATGCCTACTCCGACAGCGGATGTACAGACTCATATCTCAGCCTGCAGTGGCTTCGTCTTGTATTCGAGCCGCAGACGAGAGACCGAGCGGGGCAGCGACCACGTGTGTTGATCTGCGACGGCTTTGGCACCCATGAAACCCTCGAGATCCTCGAGTTCGCTCTTCGGCACCAGATCGTACTTTGTCGCTTGCCGTCCCACTCGTCCCATAAACTGCAACCGTGTGATATCTCCATCTTCGGTCCCCTCAAAGCGGCATATCGTGATCAGGTCGAACGGCTTGAGCGAGGCGGTGTAGGAACGATCGGCAAAGAACACTTTGCCATGTTGTATTGTCATGCGCGTCAGATCGCGTTCACGCCCCGAAACATCCGCGCAGGATGGGCGAAGGCAGGTCTATTCCCATTCTGTCCCGAAAGAGTGCTTCGTGATCTGCCGCGCAGTGCTGCGCCTCCTACCATAGCAGAATCGGTCCATGGAGATCCGGTGGGCCAGCAGGATGCCAACATACGAACGCGGCCAATACCAAGCGTTCCATCCACTCCGATGATACCTGTGACACCAGTGACTCCGGTGGATCTTGCAGGCATACTTACCTTGCACGACGTGATCCGGCGTGATACACAGGGTTTAGACAGCGGCTCCCAGCGCCGCTTGCAGAAGTATGTACAGAAATTAGCAAAAGCAGCCGAGACTTCATTCGGCGAGCACATACTGCTCGAGCGGCGCAACGAGTTTCTGCAAAAGTCGAACAGCGAAGCTCGGGTACGACGCTCAACGAGATCCAAAGTCATCGGGACAGCGAGAGTGATGAGCTATAAGGATCTGGAGAAAGCAAGAGATGGGCGGGCACTTCGAGACGCGAGGCCAATCGCAAAGCGCAGATCGAGAACTCAGGCGGTAGACCGCAATGCCACTAACGAAACCTCGGATGTGGTGCCGACTAGTACTGACTCACTAAGGGTACAAAGAAGATACACAGAATTGCACACTCAAGGAATACCGACCACCAATAGCTAGAATGTGGTAATTTATTCGACAATTCGTGCACTAGTTACGCTTGGCAAACTCACAACCCCTAAATTTATACTTCACCACGTGCTCCTAGCGATGTAATGTAGCGAGCAGAGACACAATACTTCACTCGTTGGAATATCTTTGTTTGTAATTACTTCAGCTTTCTCTAGCTCTGATATGATCTGTATTCTTCTAAGTACCTGATCTCCGCTCACTCTCGTCTCGTCATATGGGCGCTATCGTAAACGTGAGACAGTATGTGCTTTATCTCATGGCCACGCGGTAGTGTGTTGACGAGGCACGAGGTATGGCGACGGTGCATGCGTATGGTGACTAGGGTTGAAGACTTGAAGATCGACCTCGATAAGCTCAACCCTACAATCTGGATGTCCGACTCGTGCCCGCCTGTTCCATTCTTCGGCGTGTTCGCCTAATGCATCATGCGGGAGAACACGCTGTCGTCTTCAAGACATGCCCATCAGAAAGTTATGTCGACGTCGTCAGTCAGCCCATTTTCGCCGTGCGATTGCTTCACAACGTACTCATTGCTTCGACGTCGGCGCTGAAGGATTTCTCTGGAAAGCGCGGCTAGGGTTGCGATAATGATCAGAATGCTTGCCGCCATGTTGAGGCTCTGGTTAAGCACCTCCATTTCTGACAAGGTTGCGTAGGTGAGGTCCGCGAAAATGTGTAATGAGTCAGCATAGTGGTGCACAAAACGCTCGCAAAATTCCCCGCCTTCCTCAACCAGTAACTTAGTATGAACTCAGTAATATAGTCTCCGCAACAAGCGTACCCGCAAAGACGGGCGAAATCATCGATATCAATGCCCGACCACGTGTCCACAACCCAAACCCTCATTTTTCCACCACTTTCTACCAATCTGTCCACCACGTCGAGTTCAACACACGATATCTCAACAACCACTGGATGAAATCAATATATTCTGCGATAGAAATGAAGCTATTGAATAGTTCTATAACATATTGCGACATGGTAATTTACCTATGGCTAGTCGTTATGTTCTTTTTTCGCGAAGGTAAGCTGACAGACACTTCTTATCAGAGATGAATTGGCCCTTTGCCTCGATTACTGCTCTCAACCTCTCAGGCATAGAGTCGATCCAGGCATTAATCGAGTCCTGTGACAGAGCCTGCCAGGCCTCAACAGCTAATTCGAATAGATCCGCCGTCGTCCTCCTGCTATGCTTTTTCACATAGTGCTTAAGAGGCTGCCAGCAGTTCTCAATAGATGCTAGCTCTGGAGATCCAGCACAGTTGAAGAACCACGTAAGGCCTATAGCCGTCTTGAACCTCTTCATAGGGTCGTTATGTGCTCCATAGCCAGAGTCACTATCTTCTTCGAGCACGAAATCGTGGCCGGCCTCAATCCATAGCTTAACGTACTTCTCGAGGATGCCCTTATACACCTCTAGAGTCATCTTGCCATTGCGAGTAGTAGGTATCTTATATTGTACCAATTCGCTCTTGAAGTTGTATCCAACTGCAGCCCAGCAGTGAGCATTCTCATTCTCCAACTCGTCGTCTAACTTCAGGAGCTCCTTATCAACCCTCTGGATACAATCAGGGTGGTCCCTCTGGCCTTCGGCTCTAAAGATATACTCTGATTGCTGAGGTTGATATCCGAAGTGAACCTCATCGCTGAATCTAACCCTCCTCCAGTGCTCCTTTGTTGGGTACTCCTTTAGCATATACTCGGCGTACTCAACCCTGAGAGCAGCCAGACTGTCATTGATGAATGGCTTCTGTGCGGCTTTTCTTCTATAAATGCCATGCTTCTTCAGTGCTTTAGAGATAGTATTTGGATGAGCATTTACATCAACATCCATCATTACTTCACCGTGAGATCGAGCATGGCCTTCGAAGCCATTATGATTGATTGAATCGACCATAGCCTGCTCTTGAATACCGTCAATCTTGGGGTCTCTATGGCTCCGAGGGTCGGTGCCAGGGGCATATGAGCGTCGATCTCTAAAATCGCCATGCTTGTGCTGCTTTTTGACGGCCCTAGCCTGCCAGGCAGTAATGCTACAGATATCTGAGAGTTCTTTTTGACTTGGCTGCTTGTTCTTAAGGTGTAGAAAGGCGTCAATTACACCGTGTGCTCTGTTCTTTCGTGGTGTGTTGAGGTGAGCCGTCTGCTGTTGCTTCCTCGGCACTTTCGGCTTTTTCGACTTTGGCATCGTCGCAATATCCACGCTCTCAGCTTCACGAAATAGTAGCACCACCACAACACGTCATATTGATACACCGTTATAAACACTTCAAGATCAAGTTGTCACGATCATAAATATCCACAAATCATTAAAAAAGGGGAAGTATTGATGGAGTTATGACGCGTTGAAGTCTCGGGGGTGGATTGCGGCGAGATATGAGGGTTTGGGCTGTGATCAGGTGCCGACACGTCTCTCGCCGGCCTTTTCCACAAAGCCATGCATCAGCCGATCTATTGGTTCCGAGTTGGCGCTAACCGCAGCCGCTTGGGCAAACACTGGCCTCTCGTTGAATCCACCAGAAACTCGAATTGGTCCGATTGCAGGATCCTCCATTAGTCAGCTGCAGCACGTGCCGTTGACGAAAACGTTTGATTGTTGTGGAAGCTGACCAATATTTGCGTCGTCGCACGGTGTGGCTTACCCTATCTGATGGTCACACCACCGAAGAGCAGGATATATTGGAGACCAATTCTGCATGGAGTCAGAGTAATGACATCGAAACACAGATCACGGGTGCGCCTTGCATGTCTGCCTGGAGGCGGCCCCGCACGGCACTTTCCAGCGGGGCGTCCTTAGAAGAATGTACGGACATCAGAAAGCTCAAATAAGAGAATGATGCCCTATTCAGTCGTATGCTATAGATTCGAACATCGCCATGGACGGATATTGTGTCACTCAGATTGGTGTGTCATAACATAGATCGACTGCCTCTGTTCATCTTATCCACTGACATTGGAAGCTAGACCTCGGAGTACCACATGGCCATGTGTCTAGACAGATGCTATGGTCCGAATGGCTAGCAATCGACATCTCACAAGCAAATGCGCGATAAGCTCATCCAGTTACAGGTCTCTGATGCAGCTAAAGACCAGGTCGTGTATGTTCTCGACGATGAGACCCGTCGATGTTGGCTGTTCAGCGACTAAGACAACGTTAGATTTGCCACGACCACATCGCTGCTTGATCTGCCCCTCGTTGTGCAGGAGAATGTTCTACGCAAGCTAGACCTCCCGAGGTATCTGCTGGAGCAGATATACTTAGAGTCGAATGGCTTCGCCGGGCATCATGTCCGGCACGATAGAAGGGAGCAGCCACACTCATACAGTGAGCATCTACACCGGTCACAACCCCCGTCATGTGAGAACACAACATAACATTTCCCCATCAGCGCACTGGTGTCGATTTATTGTTAAACAGACATTCGAAAATCTGACGCCGAAGAAGATCTTCACCCCCTATGTCCCGCGGAGCGATGAAAAGGGCGGTGACACCAGCGCTCACCGGGGTCTGCACGGACCGCATACCATACAGCACGGATGGGAATGGCACGAAATGTGGTTCTTCACGCGTTGGGAGGCATCGGGCGCGAGGACGTGCGTGTGTTTCGATCTGCCGTCCCGCACGCTCGGCTACATCAAAGCACGACTGGCCGACTCGGACGCACAGGACCTGCGACACTGTAGTTCTCCGTATTCCATTCTTGCCATCGCCGTGGAAGGTGTCGCCCGGTCGTATGACGACTCCGTCTGGTCGATCCGGAACCAGATCAGTCGCCGCGAGGCTGTATGTCATTTATGATGAACAATTGGTGTGCTCAACAAGCTGATCACAGCAGAGGAGAGCCCACGAAGTCGTTGACTACGCCGTCCTGCACGAGATTGCGCGACACAGCACGCATGTCGCTGAATCACTGACAGTAGCGACACGAACCGTTGATACGATCTGCGCTCAGTACTCACGGTCACGCTCCTTCCTCAACAGTCTCAGCAGTGACAGCGGGAAAGCGTTTGAAGCCTGGGACGACATCGGCGACAAGCTTTCGTTCCAGCTCCGAGTCCTGCAGGGACTGACTGATCGCTCCTTTGCGACGGACACTCGCATACAGAACGAAATCACCTTGGTGAGTATCGATGTCCATCTCGCTTCAGAACTGCATCACTAACGGCATCAGGCATTCCATGTGGCGACGCAGAGTGACACCAAGATACATGTGCAGATCGGCAGCGATGCCGCCAAGGAAGCTGCGGCGATGAGGGCCATTGCGGTAGTGACGATGACATTTCTGCCGGCAACTTTCGTTTCTGTAAGTATGCGAGACTGACTCTATGATGCCTGGCGTGTAAGCTGACCATGCTCGAAATGATAGACACTGTTTGGAATGGGGTTCTTCACAACCCAACCCTCGGGCGACGGGACGAACGGGACACTCATCCTCTCGTCAGACTTTTGGATCTTCTGGGCGGTGTCTGTGCCTCTGACTGTGATCACGCTTATATCGTGGTGGTGGTGGCATCGGCGTCGTCTGCGTGTCGAGGGCGATCAGACGAACGAAAGAGTGTTACTGCGGGAAGTGTAGAAGTGTACTGTTATTACTGACACTGATTCTTTATTTGACTTTAACTAGATTGAGCATGTGATGAAGCGCGATAGTGATCTGAGATGAATTAAGTCCCTGGCTGCGGCATCACGACCAATTTAGAGGCCAATACATGACACCCGCACGTCATCATGTTCTATTAAATACTCCGTTGTTCTGTGTAGCTCACCATAAATAACAGCATCGCTGTTGTGCTCTTGCGACTGCAACCCGCCGAAGCTCTAAATCTTTGTTTGGCTGTGCGGCCCGGAGCAACAGAGCACACCACATTGACGATACGGTGTACGCCCCGAAAAAAAATGCAAACACCCGCTAAATCCCGGCTTCGTCTTCGTAACCACGTCCTGCCAACGGCAAGCGATATCTAATACGTCTCTCTCGGGATGGAAGTTCATCAAAAACCTGTGTCGCTCGATCGGTGATTTCGTCGAACTACACAGCGAAGGTGATGTTTTGGGAATACTGCAGCTTCAGGTGGAGGTGAAGTGACGCGATCAAACTCCAGCCGATTCACATGCGCATCGAGCCGCAGGTCGTGGTGGCGGCCGTGTCCGCTGTATAAGCGCCGGGCCTCGCACACCCCCGCTGGTGCGGCCTCTTTGGGCAATGTACGCCCTGCATTTCGTCGCCGGATGTGCTATCTGCTACGAACGATCTATCTAGAGCGCCTGTGGCATGAAGGTCGCGTTCGAATCGCGACTTCTGGCGAGGCTGTGCCAGCGCCACGCATGCAGCCCCACACCGGTGTGCCACTCCTGTATGCAGTGTCTCGCCCTTGCGGCACAGCGCAGCGTGTGCAGCTGCGGCTCTTCTTCTTAGGCCACTTGCGAGCAGCTCTGGTCATCTCTCAGACGCTGACTACGACATGACTGCTCATCGTCCTCAACTATTGCGCACCTCCTCTCCTTACTATCTGTGAACATCGTCATGGCACCAAACGCCGTCCGCGGCCGCGAGGCGTACACCGTCGGCATCGTTTGCGCGCTGGCGATCGAGAAAGCGGCAGCCATTGCCATGCTGGACGACAAGCACGAACGCCTGCCGTCTGCTCCAGGCGACGAGAACGACTATACTTTCGGAACGATCGGTGCGCACGGGGTGGTCATCGCTTGCCTCCCGGCGGGCACGACTGGCACCGTGTCTGCGGCGGTGGTGGCCCGCGACATGACCCGCAGCTTTCCAATCCGCATCGGCTTGATGGTGGGCATCGCGGGCGGGGTGTGGAGCGAAGAGGTGGACGTGCGGCTCGGGGATGTGGTGGTAAGCCAGCCGAACGGCCAGCATGGCGGAGTGGTGCAGTGGGACTTCGGCAAGACTGAGGCTGGTGGGGTGTTTCGACGGACGGGGACGCTGAACAAGCCCCCGCGGGAGCTCCTGAGCGCTGTGCAAGGCCTGAAAGCGGAACACCTGCTGCGACGCCATAAACTAGAGCAGCACTTGGCGAAGATGCTGTCCGAATACCCAGCGATGGAGGAGGAGGGGTTCATCCGCCCTGGCAACGGCCGCGACGAGCTCTTCGACGCTGACTACGATCACGAAAGCGGCAACACATGCACGAACTGCGCCCGTTCGCGCGTGGTACAGCGGGATGAACGCCTGCACCACCGACCGCGCGTGCATTACGGCAATATCGCCTCGGGCAACGAAGTGATGAAGGATGGGCGCACGCGTGATCGGATCGCGCAGCAGGAGGGCGTGATATGCTTCGAGATGGAAGCAGCTGGCTTGATGGACTCGTTTCCGTGTATCGTGATCCGCGGCGTGTGCGATTATGCGGACTCGCATAAGAACAAGCGGTGGCAGCCGTACGCGGCCGCGACGGCAGCAGCGTATGCACGAGAGTTTCTGCTATGGATGCCTGCGACCGAGGTCGCCAAGATACGGCCTGCCCTCGAAGCGACAGGTGCGTAGGTTGATGGGATGAATGACGATACTTGTAAACATGCTGATTAGAGATGCCAATTCCATAAGTGCAGTGTATATTCCATTCCCTAAGAACGATCAATTCATCGGCCGACAACGTGCTCTCGAGACACTCCATCAGAAGATCTTCATAGCTCGAGACTGCCAAAGGCTAGCGGTGGTCGGCCTAGGCGGTATCGGAAAGACGCAAGTCGTGCTGAGCTTTGCGTATGCCGTAAAGGAACAGCAACGCGATGTGTCGATCTTCTGGGTGCCTGCAGTAAGCGCAGAGACTTTCGAGCGGGCGATGGGAGAGATCGCAAAGGCGCTTGGGATACGAACAGCAGCAGACAAGAGTGAAGAGGTCAAAGAAGTTGTGAAGGCATACCTAAGCGGAGCGCAGGCAGGCAAGTGGCTGCTAATCGTCGACAATGCTGATGACATGCGTGTCGTGGAAGAGCTGCTGCCGTACCTGCCGCACAGTGCTGCTGGGTCGGTAATCTTCACGACGCGGACGACAGCGGTCGCGCAGCAGCTGGTCGGTAGCAACACAATTGAGCTAGTCAAATTGCAGCCGGACGAAGCAATCCAACTGCTGACGCACGCATTGAAGCACAAGGAGGTCTTGCAGGGGACAAGCGCAGTGACCGATTTCTTCGAAGAGCTGGACTATCTTCCTCTAGCAATCACGCAAGCAGCGGCATACATCAACATCAACACCAACATGTCGATCGCCGAATATTTGAGACTGATTCGGGGCACCGACGACGACAAAGTACATCTGCTGAGCAAGGAGATCCGCGACCACACGCGCTACGAACAATCGAGCAACGCGGTTGCACGGACATTGATATTGTCCTTTGAGCAGGTTCAAGAACGAGACTCGGCAGCGGCGGACCTTTTGCGGTTCATAGCATGCATTGAATGGAAAGACATCCCCCACTCGATTCTTCCTGTAATACGACCCGAGGCGCGAATGCTCGAAGCGATCGGTACACTCTGTTCATATGCATTTGTCAGCAAGCGGACGGATGGGATGGCGTACGAAATGCACCGGCTCGTCCATCTAGCAAGCTGGTTATGGCTGCGCGAAATGGGCCA